GCAGGCAGCGCCTGCTTGTGCCGGCGCCCACACGGCCTCGCTCACGCCCGCCGTCGCGGGGGAGCCGCGGGCCGCATTGTCCAGAAGGAAACGGAGCCCAAGGTCACCAGCCCGCCGGGGCCGGGGGCCGCGGGACTCGGACGCGGGCCGTCCGACTGCTCTGCCTCGGGAGTCCGGCTAGGCCCGGAGAGCGGCGGGGGTGAGGAGTGGGACGCCCGCCTCGCCAGCTCGCCTGCCGCTGCCCCGCGGCTGGGGGCGGCCTCGGCTCGTTTGGACGATTTTACCCGGACCGAGAGGGGAGGAAAGGAGGGAGGGTATCATGGAACGATCTGAACGACCAAGTCTTGGATTCTAGACCTGGTTCCGCTGGTGTGTAATCCTGGGTGTGGCCCTGCCCTCCCGGGGCTCAGTTTCCTCATTTGTCACATGAGGGAACTGGGCCCTCCCCTGTCTGCATTCCCTCCAGCCCTGGAGTGGGGGAAGGATGGATTGGAGTGGCCAGAGAAGGTTCCTTGGAGCAGACGTTGGAATCTGGATAGGAATCTGTTGTCCCGAGGAAGGAATAGCAGTAGGTGGTGAAGGGAAGGCGGGCACTCCAGACTTGGATATCATGAGATTGAACAGAAGATTCCAGAAACGGGCAAGGTGGTGTTGAGGAGCAGGGAGGAGGCCAGCTTGCAAAGGATTTCTGGCTGGATATGGGGATGAGGGTGGGGGGGCGGACAGAAGGGTGGGAGAGATGTTCAGAGACATCGTCACTGGGCTGGGTGGTGTGTGGCCTGAGGACCTCCACCCAGATTTGCCTGCGCTTCAGGTAATAGGTAGTGCAGGAGGGGGCATGTTTACTGGTGAAAATAAAGGGTTGGGCTCCAAGAGTCAATCAGCCAACCAGGGTGACAGCCCTGCCAGGTGGGAGGTTTCTGGGCCCTGGCATTCTGAAGGAGGAGGGTACAGTGTGGACGTTTTTGTGTCCTGATAAGGGCTTCTTTGGATGGAGAAGTTAGTTGTCCCCTAGTGACCTGCAGTTCCATCTTTTACTCTAAGATTGGGACTTTTCCACAGCAGAAGGAAGTGCAGATGTGGCAGTCCTCCCTCTGAGCTGACTGGCTCCTGGTGTCCCTGCAGAGGTGACATGGCCCGATGCTGCCACTACAGGCAGGAATGCCAAGTAAATATGACTTGATGATGAGACTGGTAAATAGCACAAATAGCACACAGGACTCTTCTTTGAACAGCCAGAGAGCAAGTCCCACCCGGAGGAGGAACGTAAATGGGCCAATTGGGACTTGTGGGATTTAAAGACTGAGCATGCCATTCGATGCAGCTGATCTGTCACCAGAAGCACTGCGTGCTTTGCAGTCAAGGGGCAGTTTCTTGCTAAGCCTGGTCTTCCATCGGTGAAGCATAGTACAGAAGGAAAGGAGAATCCTGCAGCAACTGCAGGTGTTTGGCAGACCTCTTGACAGTTTGAATAATTCTCTTTGTTCAGATCTCTTTGTAGAGAATTTAACGGCTAAGGAAACATTTCCAAATTAGGCCTTAGGTTTATCCCTGCAGTGTCATGCAGTAGTAATACAGATGGTGGACAAATAGGTGGTCATTATACACTTAGATTTCGTAGAATGCTAGGAGAGTAAGTTTAGTGCTCTCTTCGATGGACAACAAAGCATGAGTATTGTTGTCTTTTATACCTTTCAGTCAGTGCCCCATGTTTTTATTAAGGGCCACAAACTTGTTGAAGGTTGCAAGCCAGGAATCTGGCTCTTAGCGGAGTTGAGTATAAGGCACATTATGCCCACAGAGAAGACTTCAGTGTGGAGTAGTAGGGTTATAAAAGAATAAGCAGTGGGGTGCCTGGGTGGCTCAGTTGATTGAGCGTCTGATCCTTGGCTTCAGCTCAGGTCTTGATCTCAGGGTCTGGGGTCCAGCCCCGAGTTGGGCTCCTCGCTCAGCAGGGAGTCAGCTTGGGATTCTCTCTCCCTCTCCACCCCTACCCCCACTCTCAAAAAAAAAAAAAAAAAGTCAGAATCCTCAGACTGCAGTGACACAGATGAGTGTCTTGGTGTGAGCCTTTGTAAACAAGTCTTGCCAGGACCCTCCAAGTGGCTCTTTCAGTGCAGGTCCTCAGGGAGCTGGGTGCCCTGGCACTTGCTTCTCCATGGGGCTCTTTGTTTTAACTTTCCTGGAGTACTGCCTACAGGAACTCTCTTTACTCACGCTGGGCTTTTGTTTCATTTTTTGCCATATTTGTATTGCCAAGGTCCGCTAGAAGATAAAAACCAATTGGACTTTGTGAAGGTTGCATGCCTTGGTCCATCTTCAGGCAGTCCTAACCAGGTGGCAGGACTGATGTGCTCAAGTCTGGGTGTGTGTCAGTGGACTTGGCTGGGGCGGCAAACACGGCCTTATGATCCAGATCTGCTTAAGGGATTCCTGACAAGATCATTCCAGGTGGGGGCTGAGCAAAAGAACCTGGCTCTAGATGGTGCTTCTGTCTTTAGTAGCTGCAGGCTGGAGCCCCTATGGGTGTTTGACTTTATTCCCACCCCCAGGCCCCCCTACTGAGGTTGCCGATCCAATACCTCCCTGCCCTGGGTAACACTGAGAAGACATGTTGGTTATGGTCCAGGCCACTGTGTAGGTTCGCCTGGGGAGATGTCATGGTCAAGTGGCAATGAAGAAACTAGTGTTGGTTTGTTTTCACATTTGTGTCAACTTTATTGAGGCATGATTGAAGTACATGAAACTGCACATATTCGAAGTATGCAGTTAGATCAGTTTTGATATATATACCCCTGAAACCATCACCACACTCAAAATGTTTGTGTCATCTCCAGGAGGGAAACTGATGTTTCTGTGGTGACTGCTTCTGGCAGCTGAGTGGCCTTAACCAAGCCAGTTCCTGGGCTCCCATAGTCACAGGATCTACATCAGTAAAAAAAAGAGTGGGAATTGGGGGTTGGAGGGGGAAGTCCTTCCCAGATTGAAATTTTAGGACCTTGTGAATGCTAATGTGTAATAGAACCATCTTTTGAAGCATTTATTTATTTATTTAAAGATTTTATTTATTTACTTGACAGAGAGAGAGAGAGAGAACAAGTAGGCAGGCAGGCAGGCAGAGGCAGAGGGAGAAGCATGCTCCCCGCTGAGCAGGGAGCCCGATGTGGGGCTCGATCCCAGGACCCTGGGATCATGACCTGAGCTGAAGGCAGACGCTTAACCGACTGAGCCACCCAGGCGCCCCTCTTTTGAAGCATTTAAACCACTGACTCTAAAAGGGATTAGGTGTGTGTTTGTGTGGGGGTCATAGACAATACAGAAGATCATATTCAGTATGTTTCTTTTTTATGGCATACATAATAGAAAATAAAATCTGACAGTCTTTGGAAGAGGGGGAGATATACAGAAGAAGATGGTATGAGAAGTTATGTAAAGAACCTGGGTTAAAAATGGTTAAAAATACCAGTGGGGGAAGCGTATTCTTATTTTGGCTTTCAATATCTTAGCTTCAAACTAAAAGTTTGTGTTTGGGTCAAGTTTTTCATTTGGAAGTTTTAGATTGTTTTCTTTTGAAAACAATCAGAGTGGTATTAAAAGGAAATAATATGAAAGCAACAAAGGAAATTATGGAAATATTGGACCGGTGACCAGTTTTTGTGTTTGGTCTTCATTGTCTTTCCCAGTGAGCTTTCAGTGAGTTTCAGGGGGGGTGCCTGAAACATAGATGGGTTGGAAGCAGCCAATGAAGAGAGTCTAGTTTGGGGCATTAATTATAACTTACTATTGTTGTTGATATTGCCTAAAAAATGTAAATAAGATACAACATAAATAAATGCAAAGATGCTTCTTAAGTTTCCAGCCACACCTTTGTTAAAGGAAGAAGAAAAAGAAAGCATTGCATTGCTTCCTCTTACCCAGAGCTGATGCTTCCTTCAGTCTACGATGGGCCAGGCACAGGGGCCGCACACACAAGTGCATGGTCCCTGCAGCAGAGAGGGGCACACTTAGCCAGAGGACAGCGGTGGGCCAACGTGGAACCCATGGGTGGAGGCTCCCCTAGACCACAAGCTCATGGGATCTTTGTCACCACTGTGTCCCAGGACCTGGTGCCCAATGAATGTTAAATGCATGGCTCTCCGTTTTTAAAATTTTTGTGTACTTTAAAAAATTAGACTTACAGAGGATGGCATAGAGATTTCCCAGATTAATTATAAAGGAATCCAATCTTATGAATGTGCCTTATATGCTGAATTTTTCTGTGACTAAATTATAGGAAAAAGTTAACCACCTATGGCCTTGTCTTCAATTTCCAGTCATTGTCTAGAGACGTGTCCATAACCCTGCTTTGGTCTGTCTTGCAGGGTAAAGGTAGCAGTAATGCTGACGTTGGCAAGCAAACTGAAGCGGGAGGACGGTCTCAAAGGGTCCCGGACGTCAGCCACGGCCTCCGACTCCACTCGGAGGGTATCTGTGAGAGACAGGCTGCTTGTTAAAGGTAATGTCATCCATGCAAGCTGGTTTCTCTCCTGTAACAAAATGAAGTCTGACTGGAGGCTCTTTGGGGATATGAAGCAGCCAGGTGCTGAGTAGAAATACCTATTTGAAAATATTTAAAAATATAATTGCCTGTCACTTACAAGGACTTTGTACTGTGGGAATACTAAGGACAAGAAAATGTGGTATGTCTTACACACTTGGAATATGCTCTGTAGGGGCTGCCAGAATGCTGGTGGGAGGATTATGGTACTCTGGTCTCAGTGCTCTCAGTATCTGGCTGGTTGTGGGGGCGAGGGGGGAGCATCTTCCTTTCTTGTGCTCAATCACAAGGGGTTCCAGAGTCCCTCTCTAACACCTCAGCACCAGTTTCTGGTCTGTAAAGGGAGGGAGTGGATTTCAGTAATCTCTAGGATCCTTCTGTACTTATTCAAGTCACAGCCTGAAGAGAGCTTTATACAAAATTAGTTCCCTTCACAAAATTAATAACTGAGTGTCCTAGAGCTGTAGTCTTTGGAGAAGGATTTATATAGTGTGTGAATATGCATGCATTTGTATGGAATTTTTGTGTTCGTTCATTGATCAAACTTAACGACTGTCAGGTGCAAAGGCAGTTTCCTGCGGTCATGAGGACTACAGAAGATGAAGAAGAAACAGTTCCTGCCTTAAGGAGCTTAGAATTTGTAGCACTTTTTACTTTATGGCATGTGTTTACATTTCTTAAGTGTATAGGAGCTAGGAAGCAACGAGTATACAGTTGGTTAGGACTCCCTGTGAGACACCATGAGGTTGCTGGCATTTGTGTGTCCTGAAGCAGACCTAATGGCGGGAGAGCTGGCATGGGTGCATGCACTGTTTGTCCTCAGAAACGAGGCACTGCTGAGCTTGGCAGGAGTGGCACCAGGAAGGCGTCAGGTTCAGGGAGTCTTGGGCGGTGCGCTCTTCCTTATTCTCCCTGCCCCTGAATCTGGCCTTAGCTCTGATTTATCCAGCCTGATGGATGATGGAGTAAGAATCATTTCTTACCTTTTGACATCACCCACTATGTCAGATTGAATTCAGAATTGTGGTGGCGGTCAGAGGGTGAGACATGAGCTGCAGCTCCTCACTTGGATGGGCCTGATAGGACTTGAGTCTCTCTCCCAGATGCTGGCTCAAAGGTTCCATCTGCAGAGGAAGCCAGGAGCCAGGCAAGCTGGGGAAGGGGTTTGATGTGTTGACGCGGTCCTTAAGTGGAGGGTGTTTTAGTGCCCGGGAGTTAGAGTGAGGAATGCCCAGATGTTAGCTGAGGAGGAGCAGGTGGAAACAGTGAGTAGACTGTTCCGTCTTCTTCACCATATCCTTGTCATGGTTAATAGCTGTCGTACACAGGGCTTTTGGGACCGGGCCCTCCTTGGACACTTTATAGGGCAGTTCTTGTTTGACTTTTGCTAAGCCTTGCCAGGTGGGTAGTTCATTCTGCAGCTGAAGGACTGAGACTCAGAGAGGTTAAGAAACATGCCCAAATTACAACTTTATTGTAGCAGCACAGCCAGACCCACATTCTGGGGTGGTGCAGGCTCTGGGGGAGCAGACCCAACAAGCAAAAACTGAATGAGCAGAAGTGCAGGTCCACTGAAAAGAGCTCCACCTTCAGGGAGGTGCACGGGCTCCTGCACACCTTCCACCCTGCTCAAGGATTCACCTGGCAGCTCTCAAATGGCTCTAGGGCCTGATGCAGCCCCGGGGAGCCCATGGAGGCTCATAAAGCTGGACTCCGCCCCCGCTCCCAGGACAGATGTCTTTGGCTGGGTTTACAGGGCCCTGCTAAGGTCCTTTGACTTTGTGAGACTCATCAGAGAGAGAGGTGCAAAACCACTTCGTGGGGCCACCTATTTCCATCCTCCCAGGGCACTGGTGATGATCAGGTTTCTGGGGTAGTTGTGGGCAGCAGGGCTCAGTGTAACACACACCTCACGTGGCCTGCTCCCTCCTGCCTTGGGGCTGTTGGACCAGGTTGGGCTGGCTGAGTGGTGAGCAGTTTGGGCATGTGGTGGAGGGTGGGTAGAGAGCAAGGGTGGGCCTGGCCTGAGAGAGGGGGCTGTGAAAAACAGATGCATAAGGAAGGATGTTCTGCTGGTCCATGATCTCCTGATCTGCACCTAGAGCACTCCTTTGCTTGGCTGGATGTTGGAGAGGTCTTCATTCTGGGGATTTCGAATGGCGGAAGTGGTGTGTGGAGTCCAGGAGTCCATGGCATTGTGGGCCCTTGAGGGGTGATTACAACGAAATTCTTTCTAGGGGAAATCCCCTTTGGGAACTTTGAAAAAAGTTGGATGTCTGAGTTCAACAAGATTGCTCTAGTCAGCGCTGTCATCCTGGGCTGTGGCTTTGGCTCATGTGGGAATGTTGCTCATGAGGATCATTAGTTTGTAGAAAAGTATGTTAATGTGTCTTGGGATTCAGTGCCATAGGCTGGATTCCTAGGAGTGAGGAATTGTATCAGGATAGTTATAAAGGAGTATCCCTGGGACTGATACCTGTGGAGGGAGGTGAAGGACTCAGGAGCAGGCAGAGCAAGAAATTGATCGTTGGGGAAGGCCCCAGACAGCCTCTCCTTAGGGCAAGCGTAGCCTTCAGAGCAGTCCACAGTCAGGTGAGATGGTCAGGTTTTCCTGCTCTGCATGGATCAGTTGCCACCCCTGAGAGGGGTGAGGGTCCTGGGGCACGGGGGTCTGTGCGACCTACACAGTGCCTGGAAGGACACAGCTAAAGGCCATCTGCCAAGAGCCCTGTGGAGGCTGGGGTGGGGTGGGAGGGCTGTGTATCCCATAGCCCAGAGGTATGGGATCTGGCTTGGTGCAGATGGCTATAGGTTGAGCTGATGGATGGGGGAGATGGAGGTTGGCAGGGGCAGTTGGTGCTAATGGTGAGGGCCAGTAGTGGCTGCAGAACTGTGTAGCTCCTGTTCCTTTTCTGGCCTCTGGAAGGCTGGAGTCCACTGTCTTTGGAAAAACCATAGCCTGCCTTGGAGCAGCTGGCCAGGGCAGGCCTCCACTGTGCTGGCACCTTGGTCACACCAGCTTCTCGTTTGCGCCCCTCAGGTAGCTAACTCAAGGACATCCTCCAGGCTGGAGCTGGAGAGATGCTCGTAGCAGCAGTCCCTGGAGGGTGTAGAGCAATTGAGTATCTCTGGGCTAGGACTGAAGGCTGCTGTCTGCCCTGAATCCTAGGAGCTGGGGACACTGTGGAGAGAGTGTCAGATCTGTGCAGGTCTGAGCCTAACTGGGGAGCTATTGCTGGTGTTTTTAGTCACGGGGCAGATGGTGCTGAATTCCTGGTGGACCTTTGTGGGGCCACTGAGTCCATCAAGTTCTAAGTCTGACGGTGCTCCCCACCTACCAAAAAAGCCTCGCAGGGTCTTGGTTAGCTAGCAGAAGCTTGGCACTTTTTGTATAATGGGATTGTGTGTGTCTCCTAGTTCTTTCATTTTTTCGCTCAACAGGCATTTTAGTCCCTGCTGTGTGCCCGCCTACTGTTAGTGACCCCTAAAGACCCCAAAGGGCTCCAGGCATGCTGGCAGGAACCTTTCACCTCTATTAGTCTTTGTTAAATGTGGAGACTTGGATTGAGCTGAGTTCAGGGTCAGTTCTGAAATTAGGGGAATAAGGGGGAATGAACCAGTGTGTACCTTTATCCATCCTAGCCCCCGCACCCCAGGTGGTCCCTGGCGTCCTGGGGCTGTGGTATGTGGCTCTCCATGCTCCAGGCCTGGAGCAAAGAGGCCTGGCTGCCCACCTACACGTGCTTCCCAGTGTCCAGGGTGCAGGTGCCTCATCAGGTGCGCTGTTGTGTCCACATGAGCAGTTCGGTCATGGGATGGGACAGGAAGGGCCCCATTCCAGTGCAGTTCCTGGAAGAGTGGGGGAAAGAGAACCATTTATTGTTCTCCAGAGCTGCTTTCTCCATGCCAGGCCCTGCCCAGGACTCTGGGGGTGGGCTCAGGGTTTGGCTTGCCATGTTCCAGAATATTCAGAGCACTTAGCAGCACTACATTCTGTAGTTTAAAAACTTGAAGGGCGCCTGGCTGGCTCAGTTGGTAGAACACGTGACTCAATCTCAGCATCGTGAGTTTGAGCCCCCTGTTGGGTGTAGAGCTTACTTAAACATAAAATCTTAAAAATAATAAAAATAAAAAATAAAAGCTGGAGCAGTGGCCCGGAGAGGAAGAGTCCTGCTAAAATAGAGCTAAGGCAGCTGGCCCCAAGGTTAACCTTTAAAAAATGCTTTGTTGAAGGGTTAAATACCAGTGAAGCTGCCCAGGAAGCTTGGTGGCCCCACTTAGGTGTACCCGGTAGCCCAGTAGGGCAGGGAGGATTGTGGAAGACAGATGAGGTTTCAAGTTGACCTTGTCAGCTCATGTTGAAAGTAGGGGTGGCATGAGGCCTTGGGTTCCATTCCCATTGATACCAGTCTCTGCTATAGCAGCTGTGCTGGTTTTCAGGGTTACAGCCTTGCTCCCTCAGAGTGGAGGGGACTGTGAGTGCTCTGGGCTGGCACTCGGCAGTGTGCTGCTAAAAGGCCCCTAGCCTGAGTAGAAGGGCTGATGTGAGGCTCCATGGGGTCCTCAGTCCTCGGCTCCAGCAATGCTGTCTCTGTGAAGGGGCTAATGCCCTTAGTTCAGATGTCTCCCAGGTAAGGGCACTGTGCATGGATGCTAAGACTGCAGAAGGAGTGCTCAGTGCGTAAAGACAAGCAGGAAGCTAAGAGAGGAAGTTCCAGTCAGAGAAAATCTAAGAGGAAGTGATTCAGGTGGAAGGAGGTAATCAAGTTTTCTGGGAAGCGGCTGCATCTCTCCCTGGATGGGATGGCACAGCTGCCCGGCTCGATGGAGAGCCATCTGTGTCTATGATTGGCCCTTTCAACAACACGCATTTATTTCTCATGATTCTAAAGGCTGGGAAGTCCAGGATCAGGGCATCAGCAGATTTAGTTCCTGGCGAGGACCCCTTCCTGGCAAGCACCTGGTATCTCTTCTTATAGGGGCACTAATCTCATCATGAAGGCCCCACCCTCATGACCTCATCTAACTCTAATCATCTCCCAAAGGACTCTAATCATCTCCCAAAGGCCCCACCTCCTAATACCATCAAATAGGGATGGGGCAGGGTTAGGGCTTCAACATAGGCACTTTGGGGGAACACACTTCCATGGCAACTTTGGAATGCATTGGTCCCTAACTACACAAGGGGAAAGGCTTCTCACATCTCAGGACATGCACACCAGGAGCATGGCCAGCTTGCTGGCGACGGTGCTTATTGTTAAGTGTTTCCTGAGCACCCTGTGTGTGCCAAGCCCAGGGCCAAGTACTGGGGTTGCAGGTCTGGGTCAGACTAGACAGCCCTTACCATGAAGAGTGTGCAGATTTGAGGGGCAGGCAGTGGAGAAACAACAAGAGCACTGTGTTGTGAGCAGCCTGTGGCAGAAAGGGGTGAAGACGTGCCGTGTGGGGGCCACCGTGGTCATCAGGTGGATTTTGTAATCTGATATCTCAGTGCAGTCATGCTTCAAGTGGGCTCTGTGGTTTGCTCTTTAGTTAGAAAGGAAAAGAGTCTAATCTCTCAGAAGGAAGTTGTGCAGCCTCGGAATTGTGCAAGGTGCCCCCCAGAAAGACTGGGCCAGTGAGGGGTAGAGGTATTAGCATCTTGGAACAGGCGAGACTTTAGCAGGTTAAAAATATCTGAATTTCTCGCTATTTTACAGGTAAGGGTTGTGTCCTGCAGGCAGTGAGGTCATGGCAGGGAAGGGCCACTGCTTTGCAAAGAGGCCTGTCAAGCATGTGAAGCAATTCGCTTGTTTCTGTGGCCATAGACTTCTTGTACATAGATTCTAAGGCGATAACTACTGATACTAATGAATTCTTATTTGCCATCATTTGAAGTGTAGAGAAACTATGTGTCATTTGTGACAACTCCATGAGAGTATGTGGCTTATTTTATCTTCTGCACTGGACTGAACTAAAATGCTCAATATCTTTATTGAAATTCTTGTGCTCCTAAGATTATATTTCTTGCCTGCTCTTGGACCAAAAGCCTGCAGCGGCCCTGACTATGGTGAGGCTCTCCTGGCTCTTGTCCACTTCCCTTGACTGAGTAACGCTGAACCTGGAAATGCAAGCATAATGCTCATCTTTGGAGTTGAATTCTAGACTACAATGTGAAGTTGTTAAATCCATCTATGTAAATAGCTGTGTGTGAATATTTTAACCTGGCCAAATACCCTGTAGCAGTTTCCGATACCTGGGGAGAGTAAAAGATTCAGAGGCCTAGGCCCCACGTAAAACTTTTGGTGTAATGGGTCTGCATAGGACTAAGAGTTTTAAAAGCGCAGTAGGTACTAGATTGTGGTGATGAATGCACAACTCCAGGTTTTACTAAAAATTATTGAATCATATGCTAAAAGTGGGTCTATTTTATAGTAAGTTGTACCTCACCAAAGCTGTTTTTAAAGGGGGGGAGGCAGCAAAAAAACTCTCCAGGTGAGTGATGTGCAGCCAGGGCAGAGATTCCCTGTCCTACAGACGGGCTTCCTGGGGACACAAGCCTCTTACCCCCTGTCCCATCCCTGTGGTGCAGGGGTCTGGTTCTGTTGCTCAGTCACCACCACACCCCTGGTCAGTGCCTTGCTGTCTTCTTGTGTCCTGACCTCCCTCTTCCCCGTCCCTTGGCACCAGACGGTCTTCTCAAACATTTTGCTTCTGTTTTGTGACCCCCTCCTCCTCAAATCCTCTGGACATGTTTTTTATTTCATTGGGTTTTTTAAAGCTGGACTGCCAGAGTTCTCACAACTGTAGACAGGACAGGCTTTCCCCGAAAGCCAGTTCCGACATCAGCCTCTCAAAACAAGGGCCCCCAAGGACAGTTTCTTGTAAGTTCTTACCATCAAACTAAGTAATAGTATAATAAAATATGCAAATGCATATAGTTTTAAAACATACAGTTTAATTATATAGGTAACATTTATTTTAAAGTGATTAATGAATGACTCATTTGATAAAATATGTGCTTTTTTGATAAAACAAATGCCCTGTATGAGTGGCTGGAGCAGAGTGTGGCCCTGGGTGGCCCTCGGAGGACCCGGTGTCGGTGACCTCAGAGCAGTAGCACTGTGGTCTCGGCCCCCCTTTGCCGCACACTGTTTTCTTTAGTGGGTGCCCTGCTCCAAGGAAGGGTGAGGATGCGCCAGTCAGAAAGACGAAACTAAAGATCACTGTGGTCATTAGAAGAAGAAGAATAGTGAACGTTCATAGGATTCTTAATTATGGTTTGTTATGTGACTATATTTTAAATGTACCACAACTCAAGGCGGCCAAGAAAACAGACTTCCCAGGCTTGCACTTCATCACAAAACTTGTTCCTCTTCCAGTCACAGCAAGAGGATAATTAACTGTCACTCCTCTCCGCATGCCCTGCTCCACTGAAGAGATTGGCTCTTTGTCTCTCCCTGGCTAGAGCATCAGATGGAGCACTGTAGCCCATGCGGGCACCTTTCCATTCCCTAGCTCCTCTCTCCTCTGCCCCACTCCACTTTTCTGAGTGCCCATTCTAAGTACCTGGACCCCAGAGTGAACACAGTTAGTGGACCTCCTGTCTGTACCCAGATTCTCAAAAAGCTGATATTAAAGGCTTGTGCGTCTCTCAAACCCTTGGCCTCAGAATGGAGCCACCTGCCAGTCTTCCCACTACTGCGTGCAGTGTTCAGCTGTGCCACGTGGTGGCCTCTGCTGTCCTCTTCCCCTCCTGCCCACCGCTCCATACTTGACATGAAGGAATTGTCGTATCCACTGCCTCCATATTTTGACCACCCGTTTACTTATTAGTTTTTCGTAATCTGGTTTCCATCCTGCCACCTGCCTTCCTGCTGTTCCCAATGCCCTCAGCAGTGTCTGATCCACATCTGATAGCCTTGACTGGGGCCTCATTTCCCTTGGATCAGTCTGTGCCCTGAGTCCCTATGTTCCCCACCTGTCTCCTATTTTTCCGCCTTTTGTCATGAGGGACCTCCTTGCCTTTGTCCTCTGCTCTCTGCCAAGCTTCGTTCTTTTCACTAGTTTCCCCTCTGTCAGTCTCATGACTGACAGGTGGCATCACTGTGGGGACTCCTCGGCCTTAGCCATGTACCCGGATTTCAGCTTCCTCCTTCCAGGACTTCCCCAGCATGTCAGCCCTCTGCCGTCTCTGACCCTCCCACCCCACACAGCTGGCAGAGCCTTTTGTCTTCTGTGCGCTCAGGCACCCCAACTCGCCCTGCCTTTCCTAGGCCCTTGCTGCCTCGCGGAGTGCCCAACCCACAGGTCACCTGGCCTCTGCTTTGCCCTTTCAAAAGTTGTCCTCTTGAGGAAAGTTTGGAAACTTTGTTCAGAAATGTCCCTCTGCTCCCTATCACTGCAGATTTAAGTTTAGAATTCTAAGCCATGCACTCGGGGCCCTCCGAGATCCTGGCCCTGTTTTTCTACCTTGTTTCCTGTTGCTCTGTTGTTTTGTACCCATTGCTCTGACTGCATTGTGTGCCTTCTGGTTTCTGTGCTTGTCTATGTTCTGTGCTTTTGCACATCACTAACCTAGCTTCTAGGAATGCTTTTTTTTCCTCTTCTGCTGGACTTCATTCTATTTATTCTTTAAAGCCTGGCCCATAGACCTCCTTTCTCTAGTCTCCACAGCTGGGGGGAATCTTTGTGCTCCCAGAACCCCAGAGCACATTCTGTTATGTCGGAGGCACCGCTGACTTGCCTGCCCACTTATTTCTCGGTGCCCCCAGACCTCAGCTCTTAATAGTCATAGTGGGGGGTTTGCAGCTTTGTCCTGGCAGAGGGATGCTGGGCTTAAACACTGAGTGAGTGATGATTCAAAGGGCCAAGACTCCAAGTCCCCCTTCCTTGGGCAGTTAGCAAGATGTTAACAGATAGCTGGATAACAGCACAGCCTGGGGCCCCCGGCAGGAGGCCGAGTTTTCTCTCCCTGGAAAAGTTCAAGCACACACTGGGTGAGCTGCACAGGAAGACAGGTCTGGAAGAACTGGAAGAGACACAAGGTGTATATATAAATCAGATTCCAAGGGCAGTAGTTCTGCTATGTGGGGGAACAAGACTTTCAAAAACACTTTAGTGACTGTTTACCTATGGGTGATTTCTATGTGAATTTTAAATGATCTTCATTTATACTAAGTACATTTTCAAGGGCCTATGACTGTACTTGCCGGCATCCCACAAGTCCCTTTGTGTCTTTGAAAGCAATTCCATGGCTTGAAGTCTGAACGTTAGACCAAGTGTAGGTTTTAGTTACTTCAGTCCCTTTTGTTCCTCAGCGTTTTGGGAGAAGTTGCCAATTTAGTTGACTGATACTAACAACAGTCTTTTTGTTTCCACAGAGGTTGCGGAGCTTGAAGCTAATTTACCATGTAAGTACAGCATCCCCACCCAGACAGTAAGTGCCGCAAAGTAATTGCATGGAGAAGCTTTTTTTTTTTACGTTTTAATAACCTTGCATAGCCAAAAGCATGTTTTTCATGTGTGTTGGGAGTAAAAGTTTTAATTTTGTGCAAACAGGTAGCAGAATTTTGTTGAGGCTCGGGTAAGAGTGAGATATTTCCCATCTTTGTGACTGTAGCACGGAGGTGCCCCCTCTCTCCTTACAGTGGCAGAGGTGACTTGGCTGGGTTTTGTATCTCTTCCACAGTGTTCTGTCCCATGTCCTCTTTGAGTAAAAAGATCTATAAATCAGTGACAGATGGTCCTGTTTTCATGAGCGACAGTACCACCTTTTTGGTCCAGAAAGTGCTTGCCTGTAATGTGTCTCTGTACATGAGCTGGGGTGACCACACCCCTTACGTCACCAGGTATCCTCACCTTGGTCCTTCCCACTCAGACACACAGACCCACGGTGCAGTCCTCACTCGTGAGCAAGCTCGCTTACCTGGGCAGTTAATTTTGTGTGATACGTCAAAGAGTTGTTTTTCTTTTCCTGTTATTAATCCTTCCCAAATTTTTATAATACCATTAAAGGCTGAAAGTTTTGACCATTTTAGTATTTTTTTGAATTAGAACTTTTTATGATCATATTTGGTTAAAAATAGTTCTGAGGCTGAGGATGTTTGTCAGTGTGAGTGAAATTATTTTATACGTGGTCTGGGTGAATGCTCTAGAAAGCTTGATCTCTCTGGCCCATCTGACACGGATAAGAGAGGGGCCATTCCTGCCACCAACTACAGTTAGAAGGATGATGGTGGGTATGACCCTTAAGTGGTTGTAAAATCATTTGTAAGGATAAGTACACATAGTTTCTTGAAAAATTATTTTTAATGTATGGCATTTATCTGTGGGTGTGGTGGGTTGTGATATAAAATAGGTTTCTTAGTGTGGGTCTCAGTCAGAAATGTCTTAAAAATCCCTGAATTGCTTGATCTTAAAGTTTTCTTCTAGTCAGAACTGGAAGGAAGTGTCTTGGGGTTTTCTTAAAGGGTATATGTGTGTGTATATACACACACACACACACACACACACACACATGCATACATTTAATCAAAGGCCACAAAAACTTAGCACTTACACACGGTTCATTTTGTCCTTAAATATGACTCTTACAGAAATTGTTGGTTTTTAACCCATAAAGGATAGTTTTAACTTTATCTAAAATTTTGGTTTGAAAACAGTTAAACTTTGGGGGGCACCTCGCTGGCTCAGTCAATGGAGCATACACTCTTGAGCTCAGGGTCGTGAGTGCAAGCCCCATGTTGGGCAGGGAGCCTACTTAAGAAAAAGAAAAAATTGTAAAAACAATGTGTAATTGGTTTTCAAACCAGGATTTTAACTAAACACCTTAGGTTTGAAAAAGGCATCTCCCTAGCATTTATGGCTAAAGTATCCGATTAAAGAGACTACATTGCTATCTCTTTTCTTGCTTTCTCCCTACCCTCTGTGCCATCAGAGTGGAGAAGTCTAAATTAGTTTATACAAGTAAGCCATGCTTTCCAAAAGTACGCAACTCATTACTCTAAAGAGGAAACAAGAAGCCACCCTAAAGAATAAATCTCTAGTATCGTATCTAGTATTAATAATATATCTAAAGTATTAACTAAGAAAAACAAAATAACTTCCCTATGTAGCAGTGCTGCTTAATAATCATTCAGAACTAGTTTGGAGCTCTGTATATGCGAGTTTATAGAAGTTTCTCTGTTGGCAAAAAATACCTCTTTCAGATAGATGGAAATACAAAATCTTAGCCCATGCTTGCAGACAGAGGAAAAGCTTTGAACTAAAGCAAAAACCTGTCTCTTAACTTTTTGTTGTAGTTGTTGTTGTTAGTAGACTTTTTTGAGCTTTAAAATGTTCGGTTCTTTTCAGTACTTGGATTGTTTGTTAATCTCCCTTGTTAACTTCTTTATTATTGGTGGACTAATCTGTTCTAGAGGGATGGATTTCTATGTCTATCCTTCTATTGAAACGAAGGAGAATGCAAAGTATGAAAACAAAGGAATACTGCCGACTTCAGCCAATCAGTGAGATGTTCCCCAAGCCCTTGTCCTATGTTTCTGTTGCATAGATCTCACTGGAAAGATAGCATTTCTCATTTCAAGTCAAGATTAGGAGAAATGAAGCCCATATACAGTTCACATGTGTGGTTTGGGCAAAAGTCTTGAACTCCATGGCTCCCAGCTTCATTATTTCTAAAATAAGGAATGTGACAGTGTAATCCGTAAGACCCCTTCTTGCTCTTCTAGATTAAGTTACCTTTTACTCTACAATGAATTTTCTGAGGAATTGGCCAAAAACAAACTAACAAACAAAACCCCCTTAACAGTTCTGTGTGGTTTTTATGCCTCACACCTGGCATGTTCCTGAAGTAATGAAATGAGGCATGGTATAGGGAGAAGAACCATGAACTCGTCTTTAATTTGGGAACAAAACCTGTTGATAACCTGTGTGATCCTGGGCTGGTCACTGAACCCTCTCCTGACCTTTGTGTTATCTCATGCTTGAGGACATTGAACTAGATGATCTCTAAGGACCATTTCTAAGTCTAAATTTGAATCATCCTATTTTTGATGAAATTTCATACCATTGTAAAACTAGACAAATTTTTCAGTGGTGGGACTTGTAAGAAATAAAGTCAGTAAGTGACCCAAGGAGTTTAGCATATTTTCTGAGTTTATAAAATAATAGACAATTTCTGCATATATTCCTTCCCAATTTAGTGGGTATTTATTCCTTGTGTATTTACCATTTTTTGATATCATTTGTTTGAAGGAAACAGATATAGGATGTAGCCAGTTTCCCCTGTCTGTACCACTAGCCATTAGTTCTTCCCCCAGTGAGAAATCCTTGTCCTGATTTACCAGACCCCTTCTGATGTGGTACAGTGGGCATAGGGTGTTGCCATCTGAGCAGAGCATCATTTCACCAGCAAAGCAAACTGAGCTACCAGTTGGGTTGTGAAGACTTTCTTTCCCTCCTATTTAATGCCATGGTAAACTCTGGGTATGAGTTAATTCCATGGACATCCTTCTTTTGAACTTCAGTTTACTGTGGTGGGTATGAATAAGTATGGTGGTGGGTGAACGGCCCAGAAGTTTGGCCTGAGTTCTTCTGGTTTTGCCATGTTTAGTTAGCCTTACCCACATGTGTTCATCTCCTTGAGATGTGGTTTTCTCTTTTCAAAGTAAAGTAGCATAATTTTTGAAGTTAATGGAAAGATCTCAATTTTTAGTGACTGTTTAAAGGTTGGAAGAAACCATCTCAATTTGGAATTAGCAAGTAAAAGGCTGTATGGCAAAATCACTGGTTTGCAGTTTTAGCACAGTGGCACAATTATTGTCAAACCAAGAGCAAGGTGGAGTCTACAGCCTCCTCTGCCACCTTCAACTCCGTGTGTGTTTCAAGGTTAGCCTCCACATAAGGACTGCTGCTAGCTGCCAGACCCTCCTGATGTGCTGTTTCTTTTGCAGGTACATGTAAGGTGCATTTTCCTGATCCAAACAAGCTTCATTGCTTTCAGCTAACTGTAACCCCAGGTAATATTCTTACATACTTAAGTGTTAAAGTGATTTTCAGACAGCAAAGTTTAAAGGCTGCCCAAATCTAGAATCTTTGGCTTGATTTGTCCACTCACTTTTGAAAGTTATGACAGTTACAACTATTCCACATGAAGACAAGATATGTGCTTTGTAGTCAAAGAAAGCAGAATAAAGGAAATCTGTGGCATTTGGTGTATACTCGGAAACGAAGTACAGACTGTGACAACTGGAGTGAAGGGCCCCAGAAGCTGTTGGTACGGTGAGCTTTGAAATCGTAACTGGGGTCTGACCCTGCTCTGCCTTTTGGTGGCAGTGGGATCGTGGTTCAGTTGCTTCATAACCTCTTTGCACAGCCCACCCAGCTAGAAAGGGGGGATCATATAGGACCTATCTCATGGGACAGTTATGATGATTAAATAGATAATGTGTGTGAAGCATTTCAGCCCAGGGTCTGGCACAGGGAGGTAAGCAGATTACTAGCTGTCCTCATTAGGACTGGTAAGTCTCCAAGCTCTAGGCACTCCGGGATGGTAACCTGTCCCTCCTTGGTCAGACTGGGCAGCAAGATGGAGGACTTGGGTTTTTTTCTCGCTCCAGTGCAGCTCTGAATGTTGCAGATTCTAGCCTGGCACGGACCACCAGTGTTTACACTGGGCAGAGGGTGCTATGCTGTGGGCAGCCGGTGCTGCTGTGGGGTAGGTGGGGAAGGGAGTCTTGTGGAAGAAATAGAGGGTGTTATTTTATTTAGGGGATGGAAAGGGAATGAGAAACTGAGAATAATGAGTCACTAGCTAATTAGAAAGTGAGAGAGAATACAGAATTTCAGTAGGCGATAATGAACCCACAGATAAGACCTGGCAGTTGTCTCCCTGCAGGTAGGATGGATTATTTTCTGTGGAAGATGTTTTATAATGACAGGAGAAATCCCATTTTCAGAATGTGCTTGAAAACTTAAAAACTCATTTAATCTGTGTGGTGGTTCTACAAACATCTCTAGACATGTCCGTAAACTCAGTCTGGTACCATTTTGCACTAAGAAAGCACTAGGAGGGAGTTAATACCAGAACACAGTCCGTAGAGGTGGGGCGTTCCACGTGCCTGACATCAAGAGGTAACCAAAGCTCAGGACTTTAAGCTAGGAAATGATGAAAATTATAACCATTCTTTGGCCACCTTCATAAAACATGGTGCATCGTGCTGTTTTTAGCAAGGGCTTTAATGTTTCTTGGTGACTCGGGGTCACCATTCTGAACAGCATTTACTATTACTGTTGAGTAATGCAGAGTATTTTCATAAATTATTGTGGTGATTGAGATTGGTTCTGTGTGTACTAAGTGGTCTCAGACTGTGTTTTTGGAGTAAACACGTTTACTTGCCTCTGCCTTCCT